GCCAATGAAATTTTCAAAGCGGTTTTGGTCAAGCTTTAAAAAGAGGGCATGGGAGACATAAAACATAAGGACAGTATAACACAGGATGATTTAAGAAAACTTTACCAAAGTTACTGTTTTAAATTGGACAATCCCCAGTCTTTGCAGAATAGAGTGTTTTTTGAGTTTATTTACTATAATTGCAACAGAGGACGAGAAAATGTGAGAGAGGTGAAGAAAGAAGATTTCGAGATAAACACAGATTCCTTGGGGAGGAAATACACAGAATGAAGACAAAAAGACAGACAAAAAATCATCGAGATGATATTAAAGATCACGATGACAAGGAGGCCAGAATTTATGAGAATCCAGGTAAAACATTGAGACAATGTAACAGTAAAATACATATATTAGACTCATCCTTATAATACATCAGATGTGATATTTAGCTGCTTTACAATGTAATATGATTAATGTTATCACCAGCTACTTTATCTTAATAAGATGTACTAATATTTCAGGTGACAAAGACTGTCCTGTGGCTGCGTTTCAACTCTACTTGAGTAAGCTTCACCCCCAAAATCCTTATTTTTGGCAACGGCCCAAAAAAAAATAAAAAATGTGTCGGAGAACCTGTGGTACGATAACATGGCGGTAGGAAAGAATACCCTTGGTAAAATTATGCCGAAAGTAAGCGAGGAAGCGGATTTGTCGAAACGGTACACGAATCTTGCATCAGAGCAACATGCATTACAAATTTAGATGAAAATGGAATAGAAACAAGACACATCATGGAAATTAGTGGGCACAAGTCTGAAAGTTCTGTTCGTTCATATTCTAAACGTCTAGGTGAGCAGAAGCAGAGGGAGATCTCCAACATCCTGAGCAACTGTGTGAAATAAGATGAACCAGCACCAAAAATCCCCCGTAAATCACAAGCATCTACGGCTCTACCAGCTCTCAACTTACCAGATTTTCTTGATGATGATTTGAACATTCCAGATTTACTGACCAACAGTGTACTCGAAAACATAGAAAACTTTGAAATGAACTATATGGCTTCAAACAATGTCCAACTCCCACATGGTATTTCTATTCAAAAAATAACTGGATCAAATATCCATTTCCATTTTGAAAAGAAATTGCAAAAACGATACATTGTTAATTGAACTTTTTTTTTTGTTTTATGTTAATTGTTGAATTTTTTTCTTTGTTGATTTTAAAAAATATTAAATATGAAGAGCTTTATATGTTGTCTTGTCTTGCATTGATGTGTCTGACACAAGTAAAGTTTACTTCGGTATAATAATACACCTATTTACTGTCTATTCGGACAATAGCAAGTTTATTGTCCCCCTCGACAGCAACTATTTCCCTCGGCTACGCCTCTGGAAATAGTTGTTGTCTTGGGGACAATAAACTTGCTATTGTCCTCATAGCCAGTAAATAGGTGTATAATAATTTCAGACTTAATTCAACATGTTTTAATGATTTCATCACAGAATGACTAATCTAAGATTAAATATAACTGATGCTTTTGAAAAGCAAGACTTATATGATGCGCAAATAGAATCGGCAGATGACACCACCTTTGAAGCACACTGCACTGTATAAGTGCTAGGAAGTGCCTGGTTCAAGACACACCTGAGTCAGAATTGGTACCACTTGAACCCTATCAAATGTACAGATTTTACACCATTGCAAACAATAGCGATAATTGAGTTTTTGTACAAGAAACGACATTGATTTGTCAAGAGAAAATGTTCCTGAGGTTTTGCAAGCATCTGATTTTTATATTATTCCAGATTTGATTGATAAATGAGCACATTTTCTTGGCAGTTCTATTTCAGTTGAGAAAGGCCTTGAGATGCATAGACAACTTTTCGGGAGAGGTTAATACCGATGTGTCTGATTTTGATCATTGGATGTGAATGTTAATGCAATGATAATTAGAAGAAATACATTAAGCATTCATGGGGTGTTATATAATTATATGTAATACAAAATAAAAAAATAATACAAAAGGAAAAGGTTTTTAAAAAGAAAAATAAAGGTAGTATTTATTCTAGGTAAATTAACAAAGGTTGAACTTCTTTAAGGTAGGGCTCTTCTCTTGTTTATGACTAATGGAATATTCAAGTACATTTGTTGATGTCTTATATACATGTATTGAGATGTAAGATATTTAAAAAAAACAACATATTTTTCTTATCTCGTCACAATTATACAACTTTAAATAGAAATTGTAAACTGCGTTTGAATACTAGCAGGGACTACAGTTTGGGCGGAATGATGGCGTATGAAAATATTTTCTTTTCTGCTTCTCAAAATTATTATAGAATAATGAATTTTGTTTAAATTTTTATGCAATAAAAGACTAGACGAAATTTTCAAATGCAAGTTAAATTAAGGGACTAATGTTTCAAATTATATCAAATAAATAAGATTTTTAACACATACTAGAACTTTGTTGGATTTAAAATGCTTCAAATCTAAGTATAAATTTTAGCCAAAAAGCCGTAAAAAGTATTATTTCTCTCTTTGTAAACGATCAAACATTTAGTTTTTGTATCATGTTGTACCTTTATTTGACAAATTTACTTCATGTGAAAATTGGAAAAAGTTAAAGAAAATTAGAGTAGATTCGGATAAGCAAAGCCGAAGGCTCAAGTGAGCTTTTCTGATCACATTGTGTCCGTCGTCCGTCCGTCCGTCTGTCCGTCCGTAAACTTTTCACATTTTCAACTTCTTCTCAAGAACCACTGGGCCAATTTTGACCAAACTTGGTACAAAGGATCCTTGGGCAAAGGGGAATTTAATTTCTTCTCCCAATGGGGTGCCTCAGTCTCAAATGAGATGATAAGCTTACCACGTGATTCATAGATAAAGCAAACGTGATTCGTACGACAGCAAAATTTTTAAGCTCTTGGATTTTTTAGTTTTATTTGTGTTCTAGTTTAGTGTTATAGTTTAGTTTAGATAATATGTGTGAATTTTTAATTGGATTCTTTTCGTGATTACAAGGATTAACTATCTTTGGAACTTTCTTAATTGAACATTTTATATATTAATTGTCTAGTGGCGACGCGCCCATAGACATGAGCACAGACTCAGAAAAAATGGCCGTCAATGGCAATGATCGTAATGCTAAAGATCTCAAAGGTGACGCACCTGAGACAGCTGTGGAATCACTAGTTGCCACAATGCAAAAACAATTATTAGAAAATCAAAAATCAATGTTGTGTCTTACACAAACTGTACAAAAGATGCAAGAACGCATGAATGGCGAACAAACAAATAAGGGGGAGAAGCGCAAGGCGCTGGATAATCCCCAGTCTGCATCAACAAGTAAAAAGCAGGCACCTGACTGTAGCAAGTCCGAGTCGGAGGCAGACAATACCAAAGACGAATTTGAGGAACTCCTGTCTGAAGTGACAGAAGAAAAAGAAAGCGATCCAGACGATCTCTTAGAAGAGCTAGCAGAATGTTTTGGTTCTGATGACAAATGCAGCGAACCAATTTATGAGAAACTGGCGAAAGTCGCAAATGAAGGCATGCGGACAAAATTAAACAATGACAAAATTAAGGAGATCGGTGAAAAGTATAGCAGACCGAAAAATGTCGCAAATATCATAACACCGAAAGTGAACAGCGAAATCTGGGCACATCTTAACAGGAAAGTCAGAACACAGGATGTCCGACTTCAAAAAACCCAGGCACTGGTATGCAAAGCTATTGTGCCACAACTCCAACAGCTGGATATACTTCTTAAGTCAAAAAAGAAGGGGGGCGAAACAGCTCCGATTGGCGAGGTTACGAAACTAGCGATGGACAGCCTCAAATTAATGACTTTTGTATATTGCGACCTTTCATATCGGCGCAGAGAGCTGATCGTTCAGCCGGACAAAAACGAGGAGTTTAAGGCTTTGTGCTCCAATGATCATCCGGTGACTGACAACTTGTTCGGAGACGACCTCGGGAAAGTTGTTGAAGATATTGTTAAAGGCAATAAAGTAGGATCGAAGATATCCGGAACGTTTCCTAAGGATAAAAAACCTTATAACAGGAAACCTTTTGGCCATGGATACAAGTCAAATTACACTCAGTACGGAGGATCGGGAAAACAGTCCCATTTTTTAGGCCACAGATCCACTCCTCGTTTCCGGAAGAAGGCCCCGAGCACTCAATACAAACAGCGGAAACAAAAACTACAAAAGAAGTGAGTAAACTTGATATGAATTTCATGAACACAAATGATAATTTCCAAGCAGGGAAAATATCCCACTGTATTGAAGCTTGGGCAGAAATAACTTTGATGCAACAGTACTTTCAACTGTTCGAGGGTATTCCATAGAATTTGATGAATTTCCCTATCAAATGTGTTCGCCAAAACCAATTCAATTTAACAATGAAGAAATGATTTTGGTAGATCAAGAAATCAAACAATTATTGCATAAGAAAATTATCGAAGAAGTGATAGATTCGGAGGAAAATGAGTTCTTATCAAATATCTTTATTAGACCAAAGAAAAATGGGAAATATCTAGTAATTCTCAATCTTAAAAATCTGAATAATTGTGTAGAATATCATCATTTCAAAATGGAGACTTTAAAAGCCGCAATACATTTAGTGACCAAAGATTGTTTCATGGCCTCAATAGATCTACAAGATGCGTATTATTCCTGTAAGATCAATGCTAATGACAGAAAATATTAACGATTTTGTGGAACGGACAAAAATATCAGTATACATGTTTGGCAATGGGATAAGCGTCAGCGCCCAGAATATTTACCAAATTAATGAAACCCGCATTTTCAACTCTACGGAAACAAGGTTTTTCAAATGTTGCATACATAGATGACACATTACTTATCAGTGATTCTCAGACTGAATGTGTAAAAAACGTTAAAACCACAGCTACATTGCTAGACAACCTCGGTTTAACAGTGAATATAGAAAAGTCAGTCTTTATTCCTACACAGAAAATCGAGTTTTTGGGATTTATCATTAATTCGAAAACAATGACAGTTTCTTTAACGGACGATAAGGCAAAATCTATACAAGACACTTGTAACAAAATCATTGCATCGCAAAGTCTAACAATTAGGCAATTAGCGCAACTGATAGGAAAACTCGTGGCAAGTGAGCAAGGAGTCCAATTCGCACCTCTGTATTACAAGTCATTAGAAATAGAGAAAGATAGACTTCTAAAACAAAACGTTGGAAACTATGAAGCTCGTATTTCACTCTCGCCAGATGCCCTAATTAACCTACAATGGTGGATTAATAATGTGAATAATTATCCTCGAAAAATAATTCATGATAACCCCCTCGTTACGATAAAAACTGACAGCTCGGGGAATGGCTGGGGCGCTATCAATGAAAACAGCGGGGAGTGCATTCAGGGATTATGGGATGACCACGATAAGGAAGCTCATATAAATTTCCTGGAACTGAAAGCAGCTTATCTCGCTTTGACACGCATGTGCAAACACTTGAAAGACTGTCATGTAAAACTGTATTTAGATAACACTGTCGCTGTTACATATATTAATAAAATGGGAGGAAAAATTGAAACCCTAAATGAATTAACAAAACAATTTTGGGAATTTTGTATAAAAAGAAATATTTGGGTAACGGCATGTCATATAGCAGGTGTAGAAAATGTAGAAGCTGATTACCTTTCACGAAACTTTAATCCTGATATGGAATGGATGCTTGATCCAGAGATTTTTGACGAGATTACAAGACTATACGGGAATTGTGACATAGATTTATTTGCATCCCGATACAATAGACAAATTTCTCCATATGTGTCATATGCTCCTGATAGACATGCAATAGCGATAGATGCTTTTACAATTTCATGGAGTGAATTAAAATGTTACATTTTCTGTCCTTTCTGTATTCTCAGCAGGGTACTGCAGAAAATATTGATAGAGAATGTGGAAGCAGTCATTGTAGCCCCGATATGGCCGACGCAACCCTGGTTTCCAAAGTTACTACAGCTGATAACAGCGAACAGCTATTTATTACCGAACAATCAGCAACTTCTGAGGCTACCGAACAATCCAGACAAATTACATCCGATACCCAAGATGAGACTGGGTGTTTTTCGTGTGTCCGGAAATCGCTCCAGAACCGAGGCTTATCGCAGGACACTATCGACGTACTCCTCTCCTCGTGGAGGGAATCCACAAAGAAACAATATTGGACATATCACCAAAAATGGATGTTATTTTGTCAGCAAAGAAAAATTGATATTTTTGACGCAAATGTAAATAATGTTTTTAAGGCTTTAAAGCGGAATTTTTTTAAAGGCTTTAAAGCGGATGAAAGTTTAACTTTATATTAATACTTATAGAAAACTTTAAAATTTGGGTTTATCAACTCTAAAGTCTCATTTGAGACTGAGGCACCCCATTGGGAGAAGAAATTCTAAAGTTAAACGAGACTTACCTGGAAGGTGAAGTTTGACTGGAATTTCTTCGACCAATTGGGGGTGCAGAGGGATCAAATGCCCTCCCGTATACTTGCAGTATACACCCACCCGTAAAGTATAAATTGATAAATCCAAATATAACTCTAAAAGTATGAATCACGTGGTAAGCTTATCATCTCATTTGATCCCTCTGCACCCCCAATTGGTCGAAGAAATTCCAGTCAAACTTCACCTTCCAGGTAAGTCTCGTTTAACTTTAGAAATCATCAAAATGAAGGGACATATCCCCTCGCAAGAGGAGATAATCAAGAAAAGATAAAAATAGGGTAGGGTCATTAAAAAATCTTCTTCTCAAGAACCACTGGGCCAGAAAAGCTGAAACTTATGTGGAAGCATCCTGGGGTAGTGTAGATTCTAAATTGTTCAAATCATGACCCCCGGGGATTAGGCAGGGCCACAATGGGGAATCAAAGTTTTACATAGAAATATATAGGAAAAATCTTTGAAAATTTTCTTCTCAAGAACCACTGTGCCTGAAAAGCTTAAACTTATGTTGAAACATCCTGGGGTAGTGTAGATTCTAAATTGTTCAAATCATGACCCCCGGGGATTGGGCAGGGCCACAATAGGGAATCAATGTTTTATTTAGAAATATATAGGAAACATCCTTGATAATCTTCTTCTCAAGAACCACTGGGCCAGAAAAGCTGAAACTTAATATAATGAAGCATCTTGGGGTAGTGTAGATTTTAAATTATACAAATCATGACCCCCGGGGGTTGGGCGGGGCCACAATGGGGAATCAAAGTTTTACATAGAAATATATAGGAAACATCTTTCAAAATCTTCTTCCGTTCACGGTAGCTTAGTCGGTAGAGCGCTCGCTCCGTGATCGGGAGGTCGTGAGTTCGCATCTCGGCCGCGACCGACCTAGTCGTTAAAATTGGTAGCAACTGTTCCTTCGCCATGCGCTCGGCACTTTGAAGTGAAAGTTGCGGGTCCTTCGGATGAGACCTCAAAAACCGAGGCCCCGTGTCAGCGGCAGGCGCTGGCACGATAAAGATCCCTCACTGCTCAATGGCCCTGAGTGCCGAGTAAAGGTCAAAATTTGAAGCCCTTCACTGGCATACGGTGACGTCTCCATATGAGTGAAAAATTCTCGAGAGGGACGTTAAACAATATACAATCAATAAATCAATCAAAATCTTCTTCTCAAGAACCACTGTGCCAGAAAAGCTGAAACTTATATGGAAGCATCCTTGGGTAGTGTAGATTCTAAATTGTTCAAATCATGACCCCTGGGGAATGGGCGAGGACACAATGGGGAATTAAAATTTTACATAGAAATATAAAGGAAAAAGCTTTGAAAATCTTCTTCTTAATAACAACTGGGCCAGAAAAGCTGAAACTTATATGGAAGCATCCTGGGGTAGTATAGATTTCAAATTGTCTAAATTATGATCAGTGGGGTAGGGTGGGGTCACAATATGTATTACAAGGGGAAAATCTAGTAAAGTACAGAATTGTCAAAGCTTCTCAGGTGAGCGATGTGGCCCATGGGCCTCTTGCTTAAATTTTCCATATCAATTTAATAAAAAATGTCAATGTAATACCATCTTCGTAGTTGCTTTTTATGTATACAGAAAAAAACATTTTATCTTTTGAATAACAAGTAAGGATCGCATTATTGGTCCAGGATAAATGTAATGACCTTGTCTCTGATATTAACGGTCAAAGTTAATCTCACTGATACCATAACTTCGTGATATTGTCTTCGTGATTCTGTGAAAATTTCATTACATTTTAAATACAAGAAATGTGAGATTAATCCTACCTTAAGGCAGAAAAAAATCCATTTATTTTGCCCAACCAAACCCCAAAGGAACAGGGAACATGAAAATGCAATTTTTATTCACTCCAACCCCCAAAAGATTTTGGCAAAGGACATGTCCTCCTCCTTTCCCCCGACCAAGGAAAGGTTTTGTTTTTTATACACATAGAAGCACTCGCAAAGGTTTATTCTGCCGGAACAAATTCTAAGGAAGGCTTGACTGTGAAACAAAGCACAGGTTCCGCTGAACTCCCTGTGCAGAAGGCTAGTATGCTCCCAGTAGTGATTGGGGGTCTTCTACCTGCTGTAATTAAAAAGAAAATACACCGTAAAACTTGTATTGAAGGTCCCATGAATATTTAGCATGTTAAACACATCATATAAATTACAAGATACTTTTTTTAAAAAGATATATGGTTGGCTGATTGCTGCCGAGTACGTGAAATGCATCTTGCAAACCACGGACCAAATACACAATCCACTTCCTTACTTGTAGGAGAGAACTATTACTGGTATCTTTATAATATGGCCAGAATTTTCTCTATTGAGTATGTGATGCGGCAAGCCGCACGTGCATTTCATGCCATATAGCCCACCGGCCTCATTTTTTAACGTTAGGCTTGTAATGCTGACAGTTTCTTTAAAGGTCGTCTGGGTTATTAGTTTTGTTGTAAATTTTATTTGTAATCTTTTTGAATTTTAAAAGTTATGTATTATTTTGACTTGTATTCATGTTACAATATATTTTTAAGGAAAAAAAAATGTAATAAATTTTGTTAGGTTATCCCGCATGTGCCTTGATACTTCCTTACCAGTAACAGTTCACTGTTTTTTCACCTGAGTAACTCAGGTGACCTATTGCTATCCGTTTTCGTCCGTCGTCGTGTGTCGTGCGTTAACATTTGAACATTTTCAGCTTCTTCTCTGAAACCACTTAACCAATTTCAACCAAATTTGGTATACAGCATCTATGGGTGAAGGGGAACAAAAAATGTGAATTTCATGGTCCCTGCCCCCGTGGGGCCTGGGGGGTGGGGCAAAAACCACTTAAATTATTGCAATCTTTAAAAATCTTCTTCTTTACTCCAAGACATCAAGCAGTCAAACTGTTTGCATGATTGTTATCAGCATTGAGTCCTTTACCAAAATTGTGAAATTCATGGCCCTGGGATCAGGGGTTCTAGTGCTAGGGCGGGGCTATATTTGTGTAGTTGGTGCAGCCTACCATATTAAGAAAGAGGGATTCTTTAAGAGGGATAAAGCTCCTCCCAGTTATAAAGAAAATAAAAGGAGGGAAACCAGATGCATTAAAGGGATTTGCTAGAGTCTCTAAGGAAAAGAAAACAGAGAGTTTGGAGTTCGAGGAAATCGAGATGCAAGTAAACAGTATCACAGGAAAAAGTATGACAGAGTTGTTGGAACCGGCAGGTTTGCATTTTCAGTTATTAATATTGCCTTATAAATTTATTATATTTCATTTTTTGAGATTGAAACACATTGATTGGTATATCATATAGATTGTCTGTTAATTTCTTATTTAAAAAATAAAGCATAAGCAGTGGAAATAAAGCGCACGCATAATGTTTTGTTCTTAGCAGTATGTGTAGTTGCATGAGACGCTGAATGAATCTTGGAAATATTCTAAATCGGGAAGTGATGCTACTCTAGAAGAGGCTAGGTGGGCGCTGCACTGTGTTATCATTTTTGCAAACGAAGTGGGACAGCCCAATGGGCAAGTTATGGAGGATTCGATGGTTTGTTGATATAATGACTTACACATGTATTATTTCTTTATAAAAATGTGTTTTAGGAATACTGACATAAAATAGCATGTGCATATATTTTTGTGGCTGTGGTGTATAACTGAGATTTGATTGGTTGTTGACATACATAAGACAAAATTCACTGTGGATTTTCCCCCATGACATTGTTGGGTTTGATACTCTGCGTAGTCGAAATCGTTCGTCGTACTTATACCAATTATACGAACGACTGGCTGCCAGGCGAATGTCTCGCATTTCTTGTGAAAATGATACTAATGTAAATCATAAAACCTGACGTCCACTTTTCGATACTTAAGTACGTGTTCTGTTTTCGCTTAACAACGCATAATTTGCCATTTTAAAAAT